TATATATATATATATATATATATATATAGATTAACGATCAGCTGATGCATGTAGAAAACTAATAATTGATGTTAATATGTTGATTCCAAATAATTAAATTAAATTTTAAACTTGTAATGGAGCTTATTCTGTTGCAGCTACAAAACTAGGCCTGTAGTAGCAACAGACTTTTCCTGTTGCAGCTACAAAACTAGGTCTGTAGCTGCTACAGGCTATTCTGTAGCTTCCCGTATGAAAATAACATATATGAGTAAAATATATAGAAAATTATATTTTACACTCATTTTTTGATATTTCTACTTATATGATATCATGTATCTAACAATATACCTATTTTCGCCGATTTAATAGATGTTTATATATTGTTTGTAATATATGTTTTATGTATGTTATTTTATAATTTCTTTACATTCAATAATATATTCGAAAAATTATAGTTAAGTATATGTAATAGAATTATAATTGTTACTTGTATTGCACTCAATATAATTTTTTATATTTTTTCAACATATAAGAAAATGTATGTTAAAAATATAATGGAAAAATATATAGCAGACAATACAATGAACATATAAATCAAAGATTATATAAATATATAAGAAATACGTATTTAGTATTAAGATTTAAATAAATCTATAGATTCATTGGTCCGTAAAATCAGCAGTTTTCTTATAAAAAATAATATTTTAGCCTAACTTCAGCCGACTTAGTAGTGTTCGCAGGAGTTCTTTTCTTATGGCAGGAAAACTACATTGCATCAATTTCCGTACGTACGAGAGGAAAACTACACAGAAAGAAAAATTTCTTGACTGGAGATCAAAATTCTTGGCTCAAGTAAATTTTCGGTCGCCCAAAAGAAGACCGAAGTTGTCTTGGCCGAAGTAAAAATTTTTCTTGAAATTATATTCTAGGTGGAAGTAATTTTTTCTTAATTCAAATTATCATAAATACTTGATACAAGAAATTTTTTTATTTGATCAAGATTTTTACATACTTTAGGGAAGCAGCGACACCTACTTCAGCTGAGAGAAAAATTTTCTCATCTTGAGAAAATTTTTCTCTTGAATATTTGATACCCATTTTAGATTATTTTAGCGCGCAATTATACATATTGAATGAAAAAAAATGATTCAATATTATTTGATCTTCCCCTTTGACATGTTAATCAATAGAAATGTTAATGAAAATTTACTATCAAGATATTTAATTTTTTGGAGTAAGAGAGAAATTTTCTCAAAACAAAAAAAATTTTCTTGACTTAAATAAATTGTCTTGGATCAAGAAACGTATTTCTTGAGAGAATTGATTTGTTAGAATAAGTGAAATTTCTTGTGTCAAAAAAAATTTATTTTTTCTCCCAAGTAAATAATTATGAAGAAAAATATTTTCTTGGCTCAAGTAAACCTTTTTTTCTGTGTACTGATAAAAATAATAGTGAAATTAATAAATATTATTCTTAACCTCAAAACAATAGTGCTCTCATCATTTCTTTCTTTATTGAGTACCTCTGGTCCGACAATATTATCTGAAATAATAGAAATTGACAACTACTTTCTAATAGTACATATTTAGACTAGTCGAAACTTTTTTTCAATCAAACTATAAATTATTATTTTTTTATTTATTTCAAAGTAACAAATCGGTGAAACAAAATTTATAAGCAAAATGACAAGAAATCCTCGACTGCTTGAAACATTGGTTGATAACATCACATCGAACAGCAAAAAGTAAAAAGAATAGGAAATTTGTATCAGCAAGTTACTAGACCTCTTGTTCTTCCTGCAACAGAAAAAAATTTTGTAATTTATTAACTTCCCGCGAAGAAAATTGAAAACTTTCGAAAATCTGGAAGTTATTGGTTTGACCCTGTTTTTCGAAAATCGAGTTTTCATCAGATCTCGACGTTTTGAGGTCCTAGGAAGCTTCCCTGACTATTCCCGCGATGTTGTCACTATGTGTGTATGCATGTATGTATGTATGTTAACCGCTTATAACTTTTGAACGGTTCAACTGATTTCATCGCGGTTGGAGTCATTCGAAAAGGCTTGGCCAAACTTAGATTTTGAATACAATTTGGGCCGATTCGAACCAGTAGATTTTGATAAATCTCAAAAAAACCACGAAAAAAATTTTTTTTAAATGTGGAATAACTTTTAAACGGCTTAAGCGATCAATTTCAAAAACTATTCAACATTGGACATCAAAAAAACACGTCGATCGCCGTGAAGCTGGTCAAAATCGGTTAATTCGTTCGAGAGATATCGTGAACGAAAGAAAATCGAAAAAAGTGTTTTTTTGGAATTATTCCGAAATTCATCGTTTGATCAATTCAAACTCAAAAATTCTTTATGGGGTTGAAAAAACTGCGTCGATTGCCGCTAACCGCTTAACTGCGTGAAAATCGGTTGTTTCATTCAAAAATTATTGCGATTTGAAAATTCAAAAAATAGTGTTCTATGAAATGTATGCCATACTTTTAAGCTCGAAGAGCTCAAAAACGGCCTGAGTGCAATTTTAAGCGTTCAAGGAATTAGCGGGAAGTTGCAGGGATGGCCTTCAGGGTCAATCGTTTTCCTAATTTTTTTTATTAATAACCCAGGTAGGGTTAACCAATGCTGACAAATGGCCCAGCCTTGGACCATTTGTTACTTTGCCAAGCCTTGGTAAGTTACCAGTGGCCCAGGCCTGGCCCGAGGCTTGCCCCAATAGTTCGACATTCTCAAGCCGAGCCTTGGGGTGCACCACTGGCCTAAGCCTGGCCCGAGGCTTGGCCCAATGGTTCAATATTTTGGAACCAAGCCTTGGGAGATCACGATTGGCCGAAGCCTGGTCCGATGCTTGGCCCAATGCTTCGAACACTGATAGAAGAATTTAATAGAATTTAATAAATGACTTGTCAACAAAAAAATTTTAATAAATATAGTTATTAATCGTTGACAAATTATTTTTAACTATCATTTCTTTGTTGCTGAAAAATGTATAAAACTCTCGAAACTGCTCAAAATTATGATCATGTATTTATTTTTGGTAATAGAAAATTTAATTATTTCGTTAAAATCAAATGAATTAAAAAAAAATATATTTCATAACGGTATTATGTCAACAAATTATACTATCTGAACTAAACAAAATTTTTAGCAGTTATAAGTTCAATTTTAATTATGGAATATCATGTAATAAAGCAAAATGACTGAGTGATGTTTAAGTAACTAAAACTAATCTGTTAGTGTTACTACGAAGTGCAGCGAAGTCAGTACAGTTTGAGACTTTCACGCGGGTGACCCAGGTTCGATTCCCATCGTGAGCAAAGATTTTTTCAAGGTAATCTGGTGTAATCGCGAGATACGATAACGTAAAGCTGATAAACCGTAAAATCATGAATACAATTAAAATCAAATTTAATTTTTTAATAATGTTTGCATTTTTTTTAGTCCTGGCAAATTAGTTCCCCAAGGCTTGGTCCGAGCCCTGGGCCATTTGTTTCCCAAGACTCGGCCCAAGCCTTGTGTTTTAGTTTCCCAAGGCTTGGGGACATAGTTATCATCCTAGGCTTGGACCGAGCCTTGGCCCAATGTTTAGCCAAGGCTCGTGCCAAGCCTTACCCAAGGCTGGTGACGCTTGGCCCAGGCTTGGTCCAAGCCTTGTCCAGTTGTTCTTTCCTACCTGGGAACGCGCAAATTAAATAACTCATAACCAAGAATATTGAACCCAAAAATAACTATAAGATTAAAGGTAGCTTAACATGATTGAGAAGATTAATACCTCCATGTCATCAGCAACTTCATTTTTCCTCCGGAATTCTGTCATCATATTGTTGATAGCCATACCGAACACAAACTGCTTAAACTTCACAGGGAATTTGCGTTTTACAGCTTCTAAAATATAAGTTTTGAAATCTATCTATCAAAACTTTAAGAAAATTCCCAATAATTTTAGAGAAATTCCCAAAAATAGAAGAAAATTATTTTAGGCCAAATGAATAAGATTTCTCATTTATGATTATAATCTCTCCATCAACGAATAGCTAGAAATCGTCGTAATATAGGAAATTATGACTGCATGTGTAAAAAATGAGTAAGAAGTTACATGGATGGCCTGAAGAGCCATTTTACTAATTTTTGATTTTAAGCTATGCAAATTTAATAATAGAAAGAAATTTAATAATAGAAAAATAAATGATTAGTCAAAATAAATTTTTCATAGTGATTTGATGCTTTGACAGAACTGGAGCCCCCCTTCAATATAATAACCAAAAATTTTTTTTACGCTTTTGAAATGAGTTTACTATCACGAGTCTAAGTTTATGTTACAAAATAGTATAAGATTCATCAATATATATTACCTTTGATCGAAGTCATAATATTGGGATCTAAACCTGGGCGTTGAGGTGCATTTTTGTTAATTTTGCTCTTTCCTCCTTTGTAATTACTCCGGAGCAGAGTTTCGTCATCAAATAATGCCCTCACTAAAGATACGCCCATGCTCTGGAAAGTGTCTCGACTATTTGCTGTATCCCACTGTTCACGTCGCACGAAGACATTGGAACCTTCATGACCAATTTCAATCTAATAAATATGAAAGAATTAGATATGTGCTTTTAAGCTCTTTGAGCTAAGCGAATATTCCAAGCTATATAGAGAAAAAGAAACAATTGATCTGCAAAAAATTGCGGTGTCATTATAAAAAACAGATATTATCTAATTAAAAAAAAAATCTTTAATTGTTTAGTGGTTAGTAAAAGGTGGAATCAAATTTCTATTTTAGACTCTCTGTATGTATGTTTGTACCTATGTGCCTCTGAGGTTATGTCAAAGACCCAGACGTGATTTCATAGGCACAAAAATAACGTCAGAAACATAGACATAATATCAGAGGCTCCAAACTAATGTCAGAGTCCTAGAGGTGATGTCAGAAGCCCAGAAATAATCAAATTAGACGTGGATTGCTCTATAAGGAAATTTTTTACGCCCTTTTGGTTCTGCAAAACCATAAGGCCGTATATTTTGAGATTTGTTTTTGTTGTTTTAGTAATGCGATATTGTAAGTAGCACTCATAGGGTCATCAGGATTCGGTTGCTGATTTTGATTAGCTGCATTGCGTTGAATCATTTCGGCTTGTGTTTGTTTGACGCTTCGAATCTCTTTGAGCAAATCATTCAATGTATTTTTGATCATCTGGTTGTCTAGGAGAAATAAAATTATTGTTAAGAAGATTACTAGATCAAAACAGTAACAGATTTATTTTTGTCAACTATCCAAATTAATTTCTGGAAAAAATGATTTTAGGTTATATAAAATTATAATCATGTAAATATTTAATTTCATTTAAACAGGCTTGATCTATATGTACTCTCTTAAAATAAATAAGGGGAATTTCACCGATTCCAACCAGTGAATAATAATTTCACTGATGAATCAGTGGATTTCCACTGATTTAACCAATGACATAACAGCGCGCAGATATTTTGTTCACGGATTGAATCAGTGAATTTCACTGATTCACCAGTGAAATTGTCAGTCAACGGTTGGAATCAGTAAAATTTCACTAATTTATTTTAAGAGAGTAGTTATAGATTCAATATGATCGGAGATGGAGATTGATAAATAATTACATAAACTGATAAAAAATTTAGCTCTATTCAAAATAAAAATTCTGAAAGCGATAAAATTCTTTAAATTAACTTGTTTTTCGAATCAAGAGTAGAAATTTTGGCGCTAAGAAATTTTTCCGTTCGAGAATTTTTTTCCTGGGTTCAAAAAAACAGTTTCTTCAAAAAAGTTTTTTTGCTTTTAGGATTATTTTTTTAAAACATGCTAAATTTTTCATCATCATGTGAAGATACACAATCATTATTTCCTGGACATACACAGTAAAAAATTTTTCGTAATTATGTAAAGTGTAAAAATGTTTATGTAGAATTTAACATTTTAGTATGTTGATTCAACACAATAGAGTATTGATTCAACACAGATAGTGTAAAAAAAAGTCATCAACACAAATTTTTGTGTTAAATTTGACGAAAAATTTTTTACTGTGTAAAAATTGAATCATGAGAGTTGCCAAAAGAGCTCAAACCGCGATGAATTTGCTGATTAAAATCGGCGGGTTCTTCGATGACTGGCTCGATCTCTGGTGGTACTTCTGACGATTGTCCATTATCACCAATTTTGCCATCATTGTCGACTTCAGTGACCGACTGGTTTTGATTGTTGGATCTCTTTTTTTTCTTTTTCTGAATCCCCTAATAATTCAATGATAAAATAATTGTTTAATTATTTCAGAGGCTCAGAAATAATTTAAAAGGCCCAGAAATATTTTCAGAAGCTCAGAAATAATGTCAGACTCCCGTAAATAATTTCAGAAGAACAAAAATAATGTCAGAAGCTTAGAGATATATCAGAGGCCCAGAAATAATTTCCGAGATCCAGAAATATTGTTAGAAGCCCAGAAATTTCGAAGGAAATTTTTGTGACAAAGAAAAGATAAATTTGTAAATTTGGACATTGTTAATTACGGAAATTCCTGGTTGTTCTAAATAGTCATGTTGCCCTTTGGTGCTGCTCCCGAATTCACCTTCCAGATTTCTTTTAGTGGGATTTTTTAAGTTCTTCTGAATCCTTTCAAGAGCTTGTATAGGACGGAATGGTGAAACAAAGCCATCAAGAATTTTAATTTCGTCGTCCAGAGATTTCAAACTTCCTGTAGAAAATTCAAATTAATTATTTTAGTTTTTTAAGACTCGTGTTTCGGAATGAGTATATATAACATAATAAAATAAATAGTGGTCATTATTTGCGATATTTTATAATACATAAATTTACTTACGAGAAATTTTGATGACACGTGCATCATACACTTCCCATCCTTTTTTCGGTTTTTTATTTTTCTTCATTTCTCGCCACTCAACCAAATACGAAATGTCCTGATCTTCATTTTCCGGGTCAAAAGTTTCAGGATTAAAATCAATAATCCAATCAACAGGGACACCAGCGGTGTATGTTTGATCATAGTCTCCGCCAACCCATTGTAAAAGCGCTAATAACGGCTGCTCCGTAGCCGACATGTCGAGCCGAAGACTTGAACGATTTTAAAAAAATCCAACACCAAAACACGTTTCAACTTTTTTTTGTAATAAATTAATATTTATTTTTCCACTTAGATAATTAGAGATTAGATAATTAATTAATAAATTGAAAGAAAATGTAAAGAGTACGAATATTAAAAATATCTAACTGACAGTTTGATTATTTTTATAGTTGATAATATCGAGCGTCACTTTTTTTATTCAATAACCCGACGTAAGTTCTTTATTGAATTTGATAAATGAGCAATATTTTCATGAAACTTCTTTTATCGGCAATCAATAGAAATATTTATAAAATTATAAAATTTTAAAATAAATATGGGTAAAATAAAAGGAAAAAATTTCCGAGGTCCATACAAACAATATAATCTTTTAAATAACAGCAAAAAAATTCCGGTGAGGACAAAAGATATGATTGGAAAAAAAAGCATTTAGCTCGCCAGTAAGTTTATGTTACTAAAAGATGTTAAAAAACATTATTTTTATGTACCAGTAGAGTATTATCTCCTCGTTTTTGCATCTGGGACATACAATATGTTATTTTAGATTAAAAAAAATTGAACAATTATTAATAAAAAAAAAACTTTTTCGTATAATTTAGGTTAAATCAAGTCTCTCATGATGATAAGTCTCTTTCCTCCAAGCTTATAAACAGCGTTCAAATAGAAATTTCGGATATGTGTACCAAACAGTTTAATGGGGAGTATGGGTGTGGGTTATGCCTTCATCCGGGTAAGTCGATCGCAAAAGGCCGTGGATTTACTCGAGTGTATCCTGTCGTCAACGGCAAATTTTTTGGTGAAGGGCTGCGAAGTCATGAACAAACATTGATTCATGCTGAAGCAAAAACTAAGGAAGACAAAAAAGGGATTAAAAGAAAGTCAGCTCTATGCGACATACCAAACTACGACATTGTTAATAACCTCGATGTAGACTGGATGCACTGCGTTGCACTGGGTGTTTCTCGGCAATTCGCGAATCTGTGGTTTGATTCAACAAACTCTAACGAAAAGTTCTATTTTGGAGACATTATAGATCAATTTGATGCCCTTATATTGTCCCTTTCACCAACGAGTGATTTCACAAGAATACCAAAAGGTCTAAAGGATCGAGTTCATATGAAAGCTCATGAATGGGTAGTTTCCCTTCTTGCTTACAGTTTACCTGTCATGAAAATGTGCTTTCCTATTAAATACGTTAAGCATTGGGCTTTGTTAGTTGACGGCATTTCAATTCTAACCAAGAAATCAATAATGAAGTCAGAGTTGGTTTATGCTGATCAATGCTTGAAGGAATTCATCCGCGAAGTCGAGTCACTTTATGGAGAGAAGTATCTTTCCTTTAATGTTCATCTTTTGGCACATTTGGCTGAGAGTGTTGAGAATTGGGGACCTCTGTTTACCCACAGTGTACAATTGATAGACTTTATAATCTGTGCCAGAATGATTTAACTCCTCAACAAAAAAAATTTTTTGATGGTCTTCGCAATAAAAATTCAAAACCAGCCTCGACATTGGTGTTAGGAAATTGTAAGGTGTTAGGAAAGTCTAAAATTGTAACTAAACTTCCTCAAGATCAAAGACGAGCACTTCAACGTTTGGATATAAAGCTTGACTCAACCTATACGATCTACAAGTACCGAAGATGCATTATTAATCAAGAAATAATCACTAGCAAAATCTACAAGCGCGAGAAAAAACGTACGAACTACACAGTACTTCTAAAGAATGGTCAAATCTTCGAAATTAAGTGTTTCGTAGGCTTAAAAAATAATAATGACGTAGAAAGTTATTTGATTGGAAACTATTATTCTTCAAAAAAGGAATCGTTCTTAAAAAATAGACGACTCGACCAATTAATATCATTAAATGATAAACTACATACCATTAGTGCAATCAGTTCTGAAATGGTAGCGCAAAAAGTCATGATCATTAAAATGAATGATGATCAACTCATTGCCTACGTACATTTGTGTAATTCAGAGCTTTTCAATTGATTCTAACTTTCAGGATTGTATTATTGTAAATATTTATCTATTCTCTTGTTGTTTGGTGATGATATTTCTTACAACAATGACATTTTAATAATAAGTTTTTTTGTTCTTCATCTACAAATATTTTCTTACCCCGGGAAAAAATGATCAGACCTGACCATGCTTGTTCATGTATGATCAGGCCTGAAATTAGACCTGATCATGCCTGTTCATGTATGATCGGGCCTGAAATTAGACATGATCATGCCTGTCCATGTCTGCTCATGCCTAAAGAGTCAAATACGCTCAGGCCTGATCAGGCCTGTCCATGTCTGAAGGGTTAAATACGCTCAGGTTTGATCATGCCTGTTCATGTCTATGTATATGTGTGGCTTATATTAGCTATATATTTTACATATATGGATCATATATGTGTACGATGTATCGATCATATATGTGTACATATATTATTGTATATTTACCTACTTATGTAAAAATATATTCAGTAGATGTGTATAGAGGTAGAATAAAAGTTACACCGAGAAAATTTTATAGTAGAGTTTATTATCTGGTTATGATAAAATCTATTAACTGAATTCGATAGTAGTAAATATTATTTAAATAGTTGAATAAACCATCTGAATTGTAGTATTTACCATCCTGATGGTAACTACTACCATTATGATGGTAATCAGTAATAATAACTGTTATTATTTTAATTAGTTACTACTATTATCAAAATGGTAATTCCTAGTATAACCTGATGGTTGCAGTTACCATCACTAATAATAATAACTACTATTTAAGCTAGTAAAAAATATTCAAAAAATTAAGAATCTGCGTTACCGTGGATGCATTTTTGAATAAACTAAAAGCAGCTGTAGTGCACAAAAAATCGGGATTAAATTCGGATTGAAATTATATTTATAAATTTTTATTTGTCTAAAACAAGTTTCAACGCCAAATTTTTCAAAAAGAATTTTAAATTTCCAAAAAAAAATCAAAATTTTCGATAAAATTAAAATTAAAAAAAATCTAAATTTTCAAAAAAAAAAATTTAATAAAAAAAATCAGATATTCAAA